GCTCACCGACCCTCAACACCAATCACCAACTGTTAGCAGGGTCCTTCCAAATGAAGATGATGTGGTTGTCGTCCTTCATGTGGCAGCCACAACGCGAATCATAAATAATGTGGGCCTCCCACATGTGCTCAAACAGAGGTTTGATGCCAAACTCCTTCCAGCGGGTCAAACACTTGGAGGAACCCACGTAAGGGTTTGAGAAGGTGCAAACCCACTGCGTCTTACTGCCCTCCGTGAACTTTGACCCTCTCTGATCAGACACAGTCAGACCAATGCCGCCGCTCACCCCAGTAAAGATGCCGCCATCTTTGTTGCACACGAACATCGTCTTGGCTTTTCCCGGCTGGATACTACCAAAGGGTTGGGTCCAGAAGCGGCCAGAGTCAAACCAGCTGTCGTCGACCTTGAGAACCTGCGTTGGAGAAAAATTGACGACCGTGATTGTAAGCCAGCGAATTTTCAACTTTGAGTTTTTAGTCTTTTGTTTTGAATTGTAAGAATTACTTTTTGGCAAACTTGTTATCTAGTCATAGTAGGAGTTTAATTTGAGATAGCCTTTCTGAAACGATTTTGTTATTGAAGTGTAGGGAAATAGATATTTTTGAGTTGTGAAGGAATGATTCACAACTTCTTTTTTCTAGTGTTAAAAATGACTATAAATTTTCAAAGTCGAAATTTTTTCCTAACATATAGTTGTGATATAGTTCGAATTGCTATGACAGTAGAACTTGATACTAGAAACAAAAATTGAGTACCATCATCAGTAGGAGAGTTTGATGAAATAAAATGAAATGAGTGCTGAAAATTGGATTTGCTTACATTAGTCTTTTTTAAATCTATTCTTATAATAGAAGTTGTTTTGTAATGAAATCTTGTAGAAATTTTGGAAAGCACTTTTAGATAGAGAAAAGAAAACAAAAAAAAAAAAAAAAAAAAAAACCATGCAATCAATGAGTCTAATAAACTAAAGAAAGATGTAAAAAAACTACTTGATAAATCCAAACTCCACCAAATTCATAGTTTACATGGATTCTAAATTCCCAAAAATATTTTAAATGAAGAAACTTAGAATTCAATTGTATAGTAAATTTAATCCTAGTTCTATCCTCATGTTAGTGGCATGCACCATGCCTTGGGATTTTTAGACTTCATTCATATTAATCCATCTAAACATGATATGTATTATTATTTTAAATATTAGCTTTTAATATCATATAAAATTAAGTGTAGATGATTTATAAATTTATTTTTGTAATTACTTAATTTAAATTGATGTTATACTTTCTCCATATTTTAATTTATTCAAAATTATGACTTTATTTTTATATAATATATAGATATATATATATATATATATATATATATATATATTTATTTATTTCTAATATTTTCATATATTTTAGCTTTTTAATCAAATCATAAGGTAGTTCAAAATCTCTTTACAATAATATTTATCATTTTTATTTTTTACAATTGTTTGAATATATTTTGAGTATTTTTCTTTTACTTGGAATTATAATATTAAGTTGTAAAATAAAAAATAAGTATATACTTATTATCTTGGTAAAAATGAAAGAAGAGAAAAAATATAATAATACAATATAAAAGAAAAAAATCACATATTACTTAGAAATACTAAAGAATAATCAAAATTTATTTTATTTTAAATTTTAAATTTTTATTTTTTATTGTAAATTGATTAGAGTTCAAACAATAATTTTTTAATATAGTTTTAAAATAGAAATAATTACCAATGAATAAATAGATGTTACGTACAGAAGACAAAAAATGATTTTTGAATAAGTTTTTAAGATGTTAGATCAAAAATCTAAAAATCAAAACACATTCTTAAATGTTAAAAAAAAAAATATATATATATATATATATACACACACACACACATATACATATATATATATATATATATGTATATCTGCACTTTTTTTAATATTTAAGTTAAAAATTATATAAATAAATAATCATTATTTTATGTAAATTAAAATATCTCCAAAAATCATTCTAGACAATCACTTGTATCTAAGTACAAACATTTATATCATCTTGTTTTAATGTCAACTTCATAAGATAACTTGCATACAAATAATTGTTTATAGATGATATTCCTAGACATGATAAATTGTAAAAAATATTATATAAATTGTTTTTAAAAAGAACATTGAGTCAAATAAAAAAATATAGAAATTTAAAAAAAAGTCACATTTATCAAATTCTTATGCATTAATAATTTTTTTGCATCCATACCATTTTATCATACAACTATGTGGTTTACAAGCTGATAAAATTTAGATTCAAAACTACGAAATGGCAAAATTAGGTTCTACAAGGTTACATGAAGGTTTTATAGTGTTTTTCTCTTTCATTCTCTCTTTAACATCATATCTTCAAATATCACATTAAGTGGTGCTTTAACAATAGAATCAAATTGATTTCTTGCTAATTAAGTGAGTTTTTCCAATATACTTACATTGACTGCATTTAAACACTCTTTTATATCTTTCCATATCTTATATATAAATATGATGCTTCTTTAGGTAGTCATGTGGACGTTATGTCAAGAGTGGTAGGATTATAGTAATAGTGATTTTGTTGTCACTCATTTTTGTCTAATACATGATAGATAGTATCAAAGTAATGGCTACTACATAAATTATTTGTTGAACTTGAATAGTATGAAAGTAAGTAATATAATCTACAATTGATTGTTACATAAAGAATAGAGTGCTAATTATATGCGCTTATTGGATTCCAGATAATTGTCATTATTTGTAAGTGTATGTGTAATTTCATGAATTATTATCAAATTATTTGTTATGCCATGAATTGTCGCCAAATTATTTCCAACATTGGAATTAATGGCATATCATGTACTTCCAAAATTTTAGAGTTTGGAAAAATTTACAATATTCAAATTTATGTGGTTAAATCAATTTCCATCAAATTGTGATGATGCCTAATATTGTAGTCTAGTATTCATCAAGTATTTTGCATCTTCTTTGGATATAATCCAAATTTTTGAAATTTTGATGTTGAAATGTAAAATTGTTAATTCTTATACTGTTGCTCAGAGATGTCATATAAGTATTGGTTTTTGAATTGCCATAGTAATTTCTTAGCTAAATTGCAGATGCAAAATACATGTTTGCATATTAGAAATGCATTGTTGACATCATCAATGAAACTTTTTTGTTGATTAGACAAAAATATGAATTTTAGAAGTTTACAATTCAATAGATGGGATGCAAGAATTTTTGTCTTTAGCTTTGTTAAGAATTATAGCTAATTATTATCATTTTTAGCATCCACAATATCAATTGTTGTACTAAAAAAGAGTATTCTATAATATTTTTCTTTCAAATGGATGCCATCTATGCTAATGATAAGTTGATAATGTTGCAAGCTATATAAGCTTGCATTGTAAGCAATCAACAATTGAAAAAAGTGATTTTGTTCATGGACTTCCAATTCTATATAGATCTCTAAATTTGTTGTTTTGATTTGCTGACATTACTCTTTCAAGTTGATATAGTTGTCTTTATAAAAGCTAATTAACTCAAAAAAAACTTTTTTTCTTCCACATTGAGCCATTAAGTAGAATATTGTAACATTCTCATTATGTCAAATATTTCTTTGGATATCTATACGTCTACATTGTAGTTTGTCATTCAACTTCTTCCTTGCATTGTCCGCTATCTAACGGGTCACTAATATATTGGTTGTCCAAGTGTTCAATACCAATGCATGTGTTTTTAGAGATAAATGTGTAAATAAAAAATATACTTATATCTATTAATTGAGATTGTGACATATGCAATCTCTATTTATAAGAGCTAGTGCAATACTTCATACTTGATAAGGAATATTTCATAATGGTTGCAGCTTACATCATAACAAATGGTTTTCTTCAATTTGTTACTACTACTGAAAATAACATTTACAATAAAAATAACTAATTATTTTGAAGTATGATTCTTACTCAAAAAGTTCCTTAGAAGTTTAGTTCTTAAAAAGTATAATTTCTACAGCACATTCCTTGTTCTTTTTCCATGTTGCAACAAACTTGTCTAATTGGTTATCACCAATGTTATAAAGACTATTGTATGAAGGAATAAAGACAATACTAAAAGCAAGAAATACATTTCTCAGATACAATTAAAGGCAACTTACAAATTAGACAAGGTGCACTTTGCAAATTAGTAGCCACTCAAGATATTAGAATTGTATTTCATTTGTCTCCAATTTACAAAGTCATCACAAAACCTTCAAAATGTTAAATATATTGTCTCCACTTCAATAATATGGTAACCATGTATTTAAAAATATGACGTGTTAAATTTTACAACTATGTTTCATTAACTATAAAAGTATTTATTTTTGTATATATATCATATCAAATATATAATATATTAATATTTATAAAAAAATAAATCATTTTTTTTATAAATAGATTAACTATTTTTAAAATAATAAGTAGTCAAGAACTATATGCTAAATTAATTATATAAAAAAACCAAAAACAAAATCCGAAATCTAATATTTAATTTGAATGAAAAAATAAAAAATAGTAAAATTTTTTATTTTAAAAATTGAATTTAAAATTTTAATTTTTACATAAGTAATTAATTATTTTTTAAATAAAAATTTTAATTTTTAATTTTTTTACTAAATAATATATTTATATTCAAAAAAATTGAGACATTCTAACATATATTAAACACAAATATTATAAAAAAGATAAAAATTATTAAAAAGTTTATTTTAAAGAAATTCATAATATTTTGTCTTTTTCTAAACATTCATGCTATTTAGTAGTCTTCATGTGTTTTGATTAATTTGGAAATAAACCTCATATTCCAAAGTCTCAGAGGTATGTTTTTGTTTCAAGATGAACTGGATAAAATTTTTAATTAATATTTTGGAATATATACATGCATGTAGAAAAAGCAGCCATTGATATTTATAGTGTAATTTTTAAAATTATGAAAATTTAAAGTTTAATTTATTCCAATTGCACAACCTGTATATTACTGTATTCATTGCACACAAAATTGAATTTGCACACAGAGACATAGTTGAGATGGCGTACATGAAAAATATGGATTGGTCCGAAAAACCCAAGCATTTCTGAGCTTCTAAAGAATAAAAAAATGTGACTGAGCAAGCTCCTCTTTGTCGGCTTGGGTCAAAAATCGGATAACTGGAACCCAAAGTCCTGAGCTTGCAAGATCAAATCATGTGCGTGTGGCTTGGGGTCTTTTGAACGCATTAATTCCTGAACAACATGTTCTCTCGCTTCACCAACGGCATCTGTCTCAAAAAGAGCGCGATTCTGCCACACGAACCGACCAATTTGATTTTTGCAAAATTTAATGCAAGATCCAACCTTGAATACAATCACATTGTTTTGCAAGCAAAACGAATCATTTCTCCGTCTAGGCTCCTGAAGAGGAAAGAAAGACACCTCTTGGTGAGAATTGTTCCTCCTCCTCCTCGCGCCTCCTCGGACCTCCTTGCGAGAAGCTCTACACGCACTGATGCGCCTCTGTTCACCGCTCTCCACAAGAACGTGTTTGTATTTGCGGTCTGGTGCTTTCCAACCAACCTCCGCTTGTTGCCCTCACTATAAGATGCAATGTGCTCCTTGTGCCTCAATCTCAACTTCGCAATGGCCTTTTTAATTACTAGAGTCAAAAATTCTAATTGCTTCGGAACCGAACTGGCAAAGACGGAGGACGAGGGGCTGCAATGAAGAAAGTCGCATGCTGTGGACTGTTGGGCAGCTGCGGCACTCTCCTTATTTCTCTGACAATCTGCACAAGAGTGCACAACATATAGGGCTCCTTTCTCTGACAACCTGGCTAGCCAAAATTATAAAAGCACACTATTTGTGCCCATATGAAGACAAAAAAATCAATGGAATTGCTAAGTCTTTGTCAGATTCCTAATAGCTTATTGTATTGGAGGGTATATTTGTTATTATCAACAAGTGCAGGAATACATTTGCTGTTATCAACAATGCAGGGATATTCTTGATATTCCAGCATATTCGAGGGATATATATAATATTTTCCCTTTCCTCTTCATATCCAACTTCAATAGCATTGAATCCTAAATTCTTTTAGTGTTTTGCTTGAATGATTGCAACAGTTCCTTCCTTATCACCAGGAGATTGTATGGCTTTTGTAGACAAATCTCTATATTAAGTTCACAAATAAAAAAACTCCCATCTGATTTCCATCAGTGAACAGCCCAATTTGGGCATAGCGGTTGGCCACTCTCCCTCTCCGCCCTTATTTCGAAATGTAGGCCGGACAAAAACCATGGAAACCATCCAATAAATATTCGTTCCACAACTACCTACTATGAGAAGGCCCGATATAATCTGTTGAAAACGCACCAACACTTTCTGTGAAACTTTGAACATGTGCATAAATATCGACATGGGAGACCACAGGCGACGAACCTCCCTGTACTCATGGTTACAATAGTGGTAATTACTTTCAAAACAAGGGTGCGTAACGTTTGCTTGCACGATCCAGAACATACTGGCAATGCAATCCATTGTGGAACACTCTAACAAACTTGTCCAACTGATGTGGAACTGGTGATCTGTGTCACCGTTAAACATGTCCATCTCTGCTGTAGGCGTCTGTGGCTGCAGCGTTGTAATTAATATCAAACGGTCCACAACATACTAGCATTTTACCCCATTCCCAAGTAACCGGTCCTCAAATCCTGTGGACATGCTCACAAGTTGTGGGCCGCGGCTCCTGGCAGAGCCCAGCTCAGAATCAAACATGGCTGTACCAAGTGCCGATCGAGATACACCTGTGCTCCGAAGTCGGTTGGAATGACGACGTTGCTCAGATGAATGTGCAATCGAGGTACATGAGGGTTGTACAATCCTTCCATCCTGTGGTTATCGAGTAGAGATATGCACTACTTCGTGAAAGATTTGCAGCGTGCTTCTTCAAACTGAAATTTCAGTGAGACACTGGTAACTGCGGACATGGTTGGGGCGAAGATTTGATGTTGTTTTCTGATAAAGACGAGTGACGCAAACCACAGCTCGAAGAAATTTCTTGCGACCAGTGCATATGCTGAATGAGTTTGATCCATGGTGTAGCTGCATGTGCTACCACCATATGAAGTCAGGGGTGGCATAATGCCTGGGGCTATGACTGATGAGGTCAAGGGATTGTGGCCGTTGTGGTGAGGAGCGCCATTGTTGAAGGGTCGAGTATGATGCACTGGTCTCGAATTGTCGGTATTCTCCCGTGCATACACTTCGACTAGCTTCTTGGGAGAAGGTAACCACCAGTTGCCCACACACACCTCTACTGTGTCTCGTGAGTGCGCACTACTTTGATTTTAACGATTGGGTGCCGTCATTTTCCCGCCCATCGTCATACCCTAAACCTAGTTGTACAAACAGGGTGGGACGATGAGCGGCAGCATACTTGATATCCTTGTACGATGAAGTCAAACTCTTTGACAGTCTGAGATGATAATTCCATTTGCCGTTTTTGCATTGGCAAACCTCCTCATTCGCCTTCTCTATCACCTCTGTAAGTTTATCCAACCAACGTTGTACTAGTGCCTAGTACAACGTCATCATCATGTCTAGGGTTTCGTTTTCTCATCAAACACAACCTCCTCTCTATGCACGCAACATCTGGCCTAATCACATTGAGAAACTTTTAAAATTTCACACATTCCTCATCCAGACTTGAGCGCTACTGTTCACCACATGCATCTTCGCTGTAATTCCCGAGTTTTCTGCGTCCATCGACCCCTCGGATTCAATGCTGTGTCGGTGGGTTTGACTTTGAAGGACGCCGGGGTTTCGTGACCTCCGAGTTCAACGCGTCTCTTTCCATCTCACACGGACGCCTCCCTTTGCAGTTGCCTTACTGTAGACGGTATTACCACTTGATCAATAATTTAGTGGGGCGGTAAACATATCACATCCTTTGACCACGTGTTTCGCGGGAGATATGAAAGGTCGAGAAATCGCTGCCGTCGTCTTCGGATTAGCGGAGGCAAAAGGATTCGGTGTTGGTCAAACAACACGCTATGAGATTCCTTTTTCAAATCATGGACAATGACGCACTGAATGAGGGAGTATGGAGAATCAACCCGTAAATCGGAATGTAAGTCTAAATGAAGAGTTTGGGCAGGTCCGAATATATTTAGTGTCCCTGCTTTAGTAGGTAGGTTTAGAGAAGAGAAGATGGGTGAAAGTGGCACAAGGAGGAATTTAATATCCTCAAAAGAATGTGGTGTGGTTTGAAAATTCCACCACAGGAATTGAAAGTGGCTCCCTTTTAGATACCAAGAATTGCTCTTACCTTTGTATGTGCTTGTGTGGCATATGCTGTTTGTACCATGTACTTCCAAGAACAATGGTACTCCTACTAGGCAAATCACAATCCTACCAAATAAAATCATTCTAAGAAATATGTCATATATATATATATATATAAGCACACACTCACTCACATTCCATGTACTATATCACATGGTAATGTTGATCAAAGGATGTTCAGGATTTTGCAAGAAAAAATCCAATCCTAGTACACTGTTTAGAAGAACCGAAATCAGTCAAAGCACTCAAAACTTCACCATAGACTTTGACATGGCTGGAGACTTTAGAAAACTTCTCAACTGACTTCCTTTGGTTCAGCAATTTGTGGAACCATTTGGAATCTTTGTGACTTATCCTTTTTACCATGATATTATATTTTATACATTTGTATATTCACTCAACAGTGTACACACAAACAAATTCCTGCACCTGAGTGGTGAGTGAATTCATGTGTATTTCTTTGATTCGTAATTGTTTTGCTTGATCTATTTTTTGCAAAATAGTTGATTACATTCAGGTAATTTACCATATGATGGCATGATTAAAGGCATCAGCTTTAGCCTCTAATCATCAATAGGAAGTCAGGTCTGACATATGGATGGTTTCAGAGGATAAGGCCCAGATTTGTACTTGGTTGCATGCATATACAGAGTCACTGCCTTTAATGAGCTGTGCACAGCCAACTAAAGTGCAACTTTCTTCACATGCTTAGACATGGGGGTGGGGGTGGGGGTGGGGGGATATTTATTGTTCATGAGCCACTTCATAAGCAATTTTGTAGAACCAGTGCCAATTGTTGGGAGTCCCTAAAATACTGGTAAGAGGGTTGCTGGGTTTGTGGTTTTCATAATATGTACACAAAATCATTTGTGAGTGATTAGACAAGGTCAAGGGTTTAGGGTTTAATAGAATATTTTGGTGCAAAGATCCATTTGAATTTTCTATTAGTTAAGTACCAGGTACCAGCTTGGTACTTATTCTGTCAGAGACGTTTGTAATGCTATTTTTTTTTTTTTTTTTTTTGTTCTTCATTAGTTTTGTTGGTTTATTTTGTATTATTGGTTTTATAGCTTCACTATTTGACTTAGTTTGCTGGTAACCATAATTTTTTATATGTTAAGTTTAATCTAAAAAATTTTTATTTAATATAATTATAAATCATAATTTTTATTTATTATTATTAAGTTTATCCAAAATCTTGTTAATACTTTTGATGATTGATCATTCTTTTCTAGTTTTGCAAAATTTATTTGCAAATCTCTTATTCTACAAAGTTTTCATCAAAACTCATTTCTTCTTTCTTTGATATAGCTATTGAAGGATTAATCATAGATGTAAGATAGATAGTACGCATTTTTATCTCAGAAACTTACAATGGTCTTTAAATATCCATCTTGTTTTTTCTTCTTTCTCTTTTTACAAGCAATTCTATAATATCTTTTACTTATTTTTATTTTTATTATTTTTATTTTAAATCTTTAAGCAAAGTTTTCAACTTATCTTGCAACTTTGCATCAACTCATTGAAGAAAAAGCTCTACTTTTCTTGGATCCAATAATTACTTCTTCTACTTAAATAAATAAAAATATTATTAATCACTATCCTCTAAAAAAATATTCATCCTTTAGTGCTTGAGAAAATTTCTTCCCTGAACCTCTAAAATATCATATAATGGACTTGATGTGATTTCTTATTTTAAGAGTAAAAGTTAATTCAAATAACTAAATTACATTCTTTTCTAAAACATGCTTCAATTCTATTTCTTTTATGTAATATCTTAAATACTTTTTAATATCCTTCATTTCAAATTTATCAATCTTATCTACAACCTCCTATAAAGCTTTGTTTGCCATATTCTCTTTATGATTTTTAACATATTATAATTGCATAAATAAAGCAAATGCTTCAAACATTTTTACAATCAAAATACATATTATCTTTTTAATAATATCTCTACTTATAACTCCACTTGAAGCTCTAGTTAAAGTACCACCTATAGCTCTTCATTTTATTCTCTTGCCTTACTTCTCTATAACTCAAACAAACAAAGAAAAACCAAACACCTTCTATCTTAAGTTTTTCAAGTTGGGTTCATCAAATATGTAGTATAATATATTGTCTTGTTTAATAATACACCAAAAATTTAGCTATAGGAGCTAAATTAGAAATTACAATAAAAAAATGTTCTAAAAACTCTAATAGAATTATAAATAAATATAAATTAAACCTTAATTTATCCTAGAGAAATTTAAAGAAATTTTAAAAAATAATAAAGAAATCCTAAAATGTATCTAAAGAAATTATAAAAAACTTTTAAAAAATCCTAAAGAAATACCTGACAAAATCCTAAGTAAATTCTAAGTAAATTCTAATAAAATTCTAAACAAATTCGAAACAAATCATAAATAAATTCTCATTAAATCCTAACTAAATCTCTTTAATAGTCTTAAAACCTCAATAACTATTAATCAAACTCTTGATCTTAACTAAAACTTTTCACATATTTTAATCTTTAAGTAAATAGTAAAGACAAAAATCTTGAAAAAAATAAATATATCAATTGAAAAAAAAAAACTTCTAATTTGCTCTAATATTTACCATTCTCCTTCTCCAATCTTGATGTTGATCTTCTAATAGTATTAACTTCTTCTTAAACCATTTACTTGCTCTTTAAACTAACAAAAGTATTTGAAACTAAGTTCACTATGCTTTCACAAGATTTAACTTCAACTAAACTAGCAAATTGTTTAAGATTATATAAACTCTTACTGATTGTAAAAATCAAATATTTGAGATCTTAATCCAATCAAATTTCAATACCTTTCAATCTAACCATTCAATTAATCTCAAGTTTATAGTACACATTCACGACATGCATATTTATTAAACTAAAATTTTTTACATGTCTATCTTCTACATTATTCACAAAAAATTTAAATATGTAAACTTCATTTTATTTTTCAAAACCTTAAATTATCAAAATTATTTCTAACTTTAAAAAGCTTTCTAAAACTTAAAAATAAATTAGATTACTTGAAATCAACATTTAAACAACTCTTCTAAAATCTCTTTTCTATCTTTTTACTTCAATCAACACAAAAAAAAAAAAAAAAAAACCTTGGATTTGCCATAAGAGTGCAATTTTATGCCCCAAGATCTAATTGCAAATGTATCAAAATTTGTTTCAACTTCAAAACAAAGTGTTATTGCTCTAGAATATGCTCTCCACTTATTTTATAAAACGAATTCACAATCAGAAATTCACA